GAGAATTTTTTTTAAAATATTAATGTTATATTTTTTATATTTTTTTATTTGTTTTATTATTTTATATAAAAATAATTTAACAATTCCTACACTAACAACTATCATCAAAACAAACACAATTTTATTTAATCCCCTCACTAACAATCCTCTCACTATTAATCCCCTCACTATGAATCCCCTCCATTCTACCTCTCTGAAAACAAACTGGGCCTAAGGATGTAATAGAAGACACTTTTATTACATAGCATTATTGAACATAGCAAATAAAGAGGGAGCTCTTTCTTAAACTGGAAAAAAAAAAAAAAACTTGAGTTAATAAACAAAAGAAAAAAGAAAATCTAGTTTTAAAAAAAAACCTGAACAATAAGACTAAAAGCTTTTCACAGAAATGAACATTTGATTTTGCTGCAACTCTTTACCTTATAATCAATCGACACCACACATTATTCACACGCAAATTATTGAGAACTGTGGATCAAAACAAATGGCTCATGAGAAGCTTAGGAGGAAAAAAAATTATAGGGTAAATTACAAATACACCCCCAAGGTTTCCTTAAAGTACAGATTGCCCCATATGATTTGAAAAATTACGAATACCTCCTTGTCCGAATTTTTTATTTAACAGAATTAATTGAAAAAATAAAATTCATAATTACTCTCTTATACAATAATAAAATTACCTAAATTATTAATTGATACATATTTCTAACATCATTAAAAACTGTTAATTGACTTGATAATTTATTAATAAAATGGGCAATTTGTTATGGAATTAGAAATCTCAGGGGGTGGAATGTAATTTCCAGAACCACATGAGGCAATTCGTATTTTAATCAAACCTCAGGGGTGTATTTGTAATTTATCCAAAATTATATTTTCTCTGAATATGCTTTTCATTCACAAAATTTTATCACTGAGGTTATAGACAAACCTAACTATTACAAAGAAAATAATACATACCATAAAAAATTTAACAAGGACAAATTAAAAGACACAAGACCATGTATAACAACAATAAATATTGAAAGCTAAAGCACCAAATAAAACGGAAACAAGGAGGTGAAGAAGACAAGATATAGGGAGCAAGAAGTTTCATACCTTATAAAGCGGCAATTAACACCCTATAACTGAGATCTCTCTTTGTTCCCCTCATGTAAATCTGCTTATGCTCTGTAATTTTCATTTTCCAAGTGAGACAAATGAATCAAAGCAATGATAAAAAGAAAGCACGAAAATAGACATAAAAAGGTCAGTAAGTATCCTAAAAATTAGCAAATACAAAAAGAGTTTTCACTATCAATACAAAAATTAATAAGATCAACATTTACAAAAATAAGCATGTCAATGTGCAATAAAGATACACGATATGCGCACGCGCGCACACATATATATAGTTGAGAATGAAACATAAACTGACTTCTTGGCAGATTTGCAGATGGCTTTGGTGGCGATGGAGTTGTGGACTTTCTGGTCCTCTTCCTCTTCGATGGAGTCGGGAGTTAATCTGACATGTCAAAATCTGGAAGAAATAAAAGGAGAACAAAGTTTAAGATGTATGATAACAAAATGTATCTTATAGAATTTCTACATGAATGGTCTACAACTATAAGGGATTAATTTCAACATTTTTAACAATGTGCACTTTTGCATATTTAGTGCACTGTTATAGAGTGAATAAAGCACATAAATACATTACCTTGGGAAGAAATTTTTTTAAATGTATTAGTCAAGCTCGATAAACTCAATTTAAATTTTGCCAAAATAATTTCAAATGTTAGCATGTATATAGCCTTACAGATTAAAAATTCAGTGAAAACTTTAATTTCATATGAATATTTGTCAATAAATAGGACAAAATAAAGATGATATAATAATCTTAATACTTCCACAAACTTAAATAAACTACTGTAAATGGCCTTAGCCAAAAAAAGAAAAATAAAAAGGAAACATAATCATATATCTCAAATCCTAGTACAAAACTACTTGAAAGAAAGAACACAAGTGCAAAAGGCAAAAGCATAAGTTGTCCTGCACTTGCTTCCACCTAACTGAGCTTCAGCAAAATAGAGTAACGAGAACACCAACACAAACAACTACCTTGAGGCTTTTTTAAAGTACCAAAAAAAAGCAGCCAGATAAATAAGCTATATGACAACCATAGCCATAGGCTCCAAACTCCACCTGCTTTCATCATATAACCAAAGAATCATAATAAGTTATATATCCAACTTTCTTAAATAGTCTAAGAGACTGTAAAAAAAAAGACCAAGAAATTTCACGGATTGAATTCACATTTAAGGACATCTGACTACCAGTTTCGCAATAACACGTGGCTATAATTTTCTGACAAATCTCATGACTGGAACAATTTTTCAAATACATGGTGTGCCACTTTGAAGGGTGGCTTCAATCTACTCAAGGTCCACTTCCTTTTGATTTGTAAAACATAATGATACATATCATTGTTGTATATCAACCCAGGTGGGTCAAAGTTATCTTGCTTTAAGCCAGTCAAAATTCTCCTTTCTCTTCAACATTCAGCGTCTATCTATCTCTAAATTTCAACATTCATTGTTGACGCAGTATTTTTTTTTTTTTTTTTTTTTTTTTTTTTTGGAGAAAAATTAGAGAAAACAAAAACCATAGTGTTTGGTCACTTGCTACGCACCTTGATGTTTGAATTTGCCATTTTTTATAAAGCAAAAATCAAAGAAAGTTGATTACAAACACTAGATTCTGATATTTCACCCAACTTTTTTTTTTCTTTCCAAATCCATACCCAAATACATGATCCGAACAATTCAAATTCCTAGTTAAATTCATGATCCAAGCACACTCTAAAATACAAAAGAAAGAAAATTTTATCTTCGTCTCTTGCATAAAGTAAAAATACAACAAAGTTCTGGTAACATCATCACTCACCTGAACCGCAAACAAAGTCAACGAACCTTTCAAACCCAACTATCTAAGTAGCGATTGAGAGCAATTGAAGAACAACGAGAGCTGGTATTGATGATCGTGACTCAGTTTCAACCCCAGCAATCTGAATAGAGCCGAAGTGGAGCTGGGTTAAGCTTCTTCTAACATTGCAATCCTAACTAAAACAACATTGCATGCAACAACGAAGAGAATTACCGGTACAAAATAGGATGAAATCTCGAACAAGCTTCAACGGAGGACCAAGGGCTTCAATTTTCGAAACAGAGGTCACCGATCAAGTATTTGACGCCATCGATCTGGTTGGACCTATTTCTGGTAGGCTTGGAGAGTACAGATACAAACTGCAAACCCATATTCGGTAGGGTTTCGACATCATCGTTGTGAAGATCTCGTTTCACCGTCATTTAGATCGTCATTTCAGTATCGTAGAGAAACACAGAGAAAAAAAAAAAAAAATATTGAGGCGCAAGCGAAAGAGAAGCTGGGAGTCTTGCTATTATTACCTGTCAAAATTATTTGAATCCCCTCATTCTATAAAAAAAAAATTATTATAAGCTAGGTAAAATTTTATTAAAAGGTATTATTAACCTCTCAATAAGAATTAATATTTTATAATATTGGATATTCACTCTCACCTCCAATTCTAACTATACGTATTTTATGTTTGTAAATCCTAAACTTATTTTTTTTCATAACCAACTAATATAAATCCTAAATTTATTATTTTTCATAATCATCTTAAATCCTGAATGTGTCATCTTTATCACCATCATCAACTCTATTAAACTTGAAAGTTTTGCTTCAAGTATAACGTATACTTCATCACTTATTTCACTGTATAGAGCAATGGAGGACGAGGACAACAATTCTAGTGAGACCGGCGTTCCATTAATAAGTTTATCTGTCTTGTATTAACATTCTCGGTCGTTTTCGGTCGTTCTTGTTTCGTTCGAGCTGTTCGGTACTGGTTTGCTGACTATTAGAATTATGTTCGGTAATACAGTACTGAATATAATCCTTTCATTCAATACATAGGTTCCGAACATTAATGCAGATAGTCAGTTATGTAATTTTATTTGTTAAACTAACTTAGAATGAAAAAAAAGTGAATTGGAATGGATTTAAGTTATGTATTTTGAATGGATTTAATTCATGTTATTTTAAGTTGTGAATTGAAATGGATTCAAGTTACACAGTGATGAACAAATTTTGTTCGAACATACAGTGCTGACAGGATCATTATTGTTCGACAAAACAGTTCTGAACAAAATACATTTTTTCGGCTACACAGTGGTAAACAAATTGTTTTGGGCTACATTCAGAATTCTGATGGCAATTCAGACGATGATTTTGATGGCGATTCAGACGATGATTTTGTTTTTTCTCATCTTGCAAACGGCTATGCAAATCCCGTAGAAATTGGAGTATCTTCGATCGATCTCAGCGATGACGAAGATACAAAAAGTCACGAAGAAGATAATGATGAGAGAGGTTACTGATTCGGCGATACGGAGAGCGTTCAGAGAAGATGAGAGTCGTCGGAATGCTCCGTTGACAGCCGAGACGGCGACGAGAGTGATTATAGCGATCCCGATTTCCCTTTTCTTTACTTGTTATATCCGGACTTAGGTTCTGTGGAGCGGGTTGTTGTGAGTATGTTGTTTGCACCCTTTAATCCTTATATTGAGCCTTGGGTTGTGTTGGGAAGATTTGGAGCAGGTTGGTTGAGCTTAGGAACTAAGTCTAGTTGCCCAGATTTTGGCTTGTCCGCTCGAGCGGGGGTTTGGGCGCTCGAGCAGGGATTACACCCATCCAGTATGTCCTGTGTAGTGTTGGACGCTCGAGCGGGGGATTGGCCGCTCAAGCGGGAGGTTGTGAGTGACGCTCGAGCGGGGAGTTGGGCGCTCCAGCGGGGACCTGTCTGCAAAAAACTTCTGGGAGTGTGCATCCGCCGCTCGAGCGGGAATTTGGCCGCTCGAGCGGGAGTCTGTGAGTGGCGCTCGAGCGGGGGTTTACACGCTCGAGCGGGGCGACTGGTATAAAAACCCGAGATCCGACTTTCTGGATCATTTTTCATCTCCTTTTTGATTTTAAAACCCTAGAACCGTCTTCTCCCTCTCCCTACACACCTTCTCTCTTAGGTTCGATCTACTTAGAGTGTATTTCTACCTTAGTTCCTTTGGAAGAAAGGTAGAGCTTCGCGAGAGCTTCCTTTTAATCTGAAAAAGAGAGGATTTGGACCACTTTGGACTTCCGTCATCTTCTCCATTCGAGTTCTTCACTTCAAGGTAGGGATTTCCTACTCCATATTATAGGTTTTGTTCTAAGTTTTGGCATTTTGATATGTTGGGGGTTGTTTGGTAATTTTGGGAAAAACCCTAGTTGTTGTAATAAATTAATTTATATAATTAATTTAGGGAAAATTGGGAAATTTAGTTGAATTCATGGAATTAATGAATTTATTGATTAAGTGGTGTAGTTGGTAGTTTAATCACTCACCTATGAAAATGTTGGAATTATGTTAGTTGATACATTTATTTCCTGTTTAGAAATAACTGTTTTGGGCTATCGGTGGAGGATAGTCGTGATTGTTGTAGCAATTTCCATCTCCATTCAATTTCCATTTTTATTTAATTTGCAAATAGATCGTTAAGGTGTAGTGGTTTCTTGAATGAACATCCATTTTTAATATTATCGAACTTTCATTTTTATTTTTATTCCACTTTCATTTTTTTTCATTTTCCTTTTCTATTCAATTTCCTTTTTTATTTAA